GGGTGAGCGGCAGGCGTACCTGTGGGGGGGAGGAAGAAGCTGGGGTTAAGTTGTGCGATGGCGTGGACAATTCATGGTAATAAATGGGTTCTTATTACGATGCTAGGGTGGGGTCCGTTGTTTTCAGGTGGGGTTAGGTTCGGGTGGGGCTGGCTGGTTGAGGTCGGTTAGGTTCAGATGATATCGTTTGGATTTGGATGATGTCGGTTCCGTTCGGATGATGACGGTTGAGTTCGCGTGGATTAGATTGCGTTCAGGTAGGATCGAAGAGGTTGGGTGGTGTTGGATGGGATCGAGTTGCGTTAGTGGGTGTCGCGTGTGGTCGGTAGATGTCGAATTCACTTACAAAGCCAATTGTCTTATGGCCACGAGCATCAGAGTAAGACGCAATTGTTTGGATGGGGGATGTGATAAATAGATTTTCACTTTTGTAAGAACTAGAAATATAAGTGTTTGAAGTAAAGACCATTTTGGATAATTCTTTGGAATTGGCTGGTATTGTGTGGGGTTCGGGTTGGTTTGTGTCTACATGGATCTAACCGTGTCAGGTGTGATCTTGTAGGATCTGCTTCAGTCGATTAGAATTGGGTGGCCTTTGGGTGCCGGTGGGTCCGAGTTGTGTGGAGAGGAGCCAGGTTGGATCTTGTCGCAATGGGTCTTGATGGTAAGAGTCGGGATCGGAGTGAGGTGTTTGGTGAGTTCGGATGGGGTTGGATGCAATCGGATCTTTCATCGCGGACTGCGTGCCGTAAGTCAGGTGTCACTTACAGGGAACTAAGTGGGTATTCAGTTATATAATAACGTTAATTTTAACACCCGGCTCTAGTAAAGTCCATCTTGGAAGGTCAGGTTTGGTTGGTTTTGGTTCTGTTGATGTGGGAAGGAATCGGCGGAAAGGATGGAGTGGAGTTGCGTCGGCTCGGGTTGGTCGGTTGATTTGGAAGGGACCGGTTAGGGTCTATATGGGTCGGGTGAGGTCAGGTTTGGTCTGGTCGCGAACAGTCGGAAGGGGTGAGGCCATATTTACCGTCAAACGCCTGCTGACCACCAGCACAAGCGTAATGTGTACTTCCGAGTAGAGCAAATGGATTCAGCTCTACAGAAATTTGTGTAATGTTCCGGTTAAAATAAGTTCCTCCATAACTGGGTTTTCAGTAAGGCAATAAAGTGGAAATAATCCTATATTTGAATGTGTACCTTGAATGACGTATTGAGGTCGGGAGAAGGATTCGTGTGGGCGTGGCCGAGATGGGTTGGGTGGGGTCGGTTGATATCACGTGATATCGGGAAGGGTTGGACACGCCTTCAACGCAGACAGCTGGCCGGACGCCGGCGTCAGACGAAGAATTCTTAGTTGTACTCACCTTGCCATCAACACCCGCATGAAGAGACTCCATTGTTACGTCGTTGACCAAGAGGGTCAAGTTGTGTTCAGAATTCGGCAATAAGGTGCGGTTCTCCAAAGGTGTTATATCTGCAGAAAAATATTTTGTTGCCAATGAAGATGCTAATCCCTGTATACTTTCGTGACAATATTACATGAAACGGTGATTTCTGTAATGTATTTTATTTCTAAATTAGATTATTAGTTGAACTTTTTAATAGTTCATTTTATAGTGATTATTCAATGTATTAGCTCAAATGACCTGCTGTATATTGTATTTTTAAGTTCACAATTGTTGTTTCTGTAATAATTTCCCGCAACTGCATACAAATCATAGTACTCGGCATATAGTACAAAATTTAAAGAACAATTAGTTGCCCTTGCATTTGTTGACTTTTTTGAAGTTTCATCAATCTCATGAAAACTGACGCTAATGAAGTACCTGCGAGAGGTATCATGTTAATCTCTCAGTAGAGTAGTAGGAGAAACCAGGGCAGGCATTGTATGACGAAGCATGTCAAAGAGCGAACCATTATCCCTTTATCGGGGCCTCTTCGAGGTGACAATAAGCGACATATTGCCATTGTGTTGCCATTGTAGAGTGAGACGCCTACTCTGGGAGGAGTATATGATAAATAAGCTGTCTAATAAATGAAAAATATCTGAATATCTATTTTGCAACCTTAACTGCAACTGAATTTTTTTAGATTACTTATCCATTTTGATGTGTTAGGAATTTTATATATGAATTCTATAGCGTATATACATGCCTATTTCACTAATAAATAATAATGATCGCCTAATTAGTATGAATGCCTCTATTTTCCTGAATGATATAAGAATCTAGTGTATAATTATTACATGACGTTGGCCGTCATTTAATAAAAATTGAATTTTATAAACCCTTACTTGTTTTCAATTTTACCGCGTCGAATGTAGAAAAGTTGAAGGAATGTAGGTTATCCTATGTACTCAGAATGCAAGGTTATTGTATAACTTGTGCAACTATCCGATTCATGTATCACGTGTGAATATTTAGCTACCAGGAGGAGGTATTTCATATTTCGAAAGCTGTCTAAAAATCAGTTGTATTGTTTAAATGCGTTTAGCGTTGTCGGGAGCATCGATTAGAGAATTGATATTTCTGAAAAGCAAGTCAGAATATGGTCATATTTATCTCGCTATTTTATAAAACTGAAAGAGGTTTGCCCAAACAAAAATCCTTTAGAGAATTTGAAGCAATATTAAATTATTGTCATGAACTTGTTTAAGTCATGTAGTGTTAATTTGACTAATTTCAACATTCGTGGTGAGCAATTTCTTTTCTGAATTTTTAGTTAACAATAATTAATTGTATTTTACCTACTTCAACTATAAAACATTAGACTTTTATGAGTCTTTTAATTGCTTTTTTTAGAATTTTCAGTACCTTTTTTAACTGTTTCTAGTGCATAAACATTCGCAGCTTAATGATATGTTTTATGTGTTATGTGATTTATTACAAGAAAATAAGACACAAAGAATACTCACAACAGCGGATGACGGAATGTTCAAACGTCCATCGGAAGGTGATGTCGAGGGGTGGGCCGCAGTGGAAGTCCCACAACTCCAAGGGGTCCTTCAATACCACCCCTTCGTAGCGCTGCTGCTGGCTCGAATCTTTGTCGAACATTATCAAATCCGACTGGGCGTACTGTGAACGCTGAAACGCGGAAAATATACAATACTTTATGATTTTGTGTTATTTATGTTGGTACACGCGCCTGGTTTCTTAGCAATCACCATATGAAGAGCGCGTCCATAGCAGCGAGCGTTAAAATGTCCATTAAAAATATTTCAGCGGACTCTGTTACCAATGATCATAACTCTGTTGATAAATATGTTCCTTTGCCTCCCGTCTATTTGTCCCCATGTCCATTTGCCCCATACGTCACACTTCTCCATTTCTTCCACTTTTCCGTTTGCCTATTCGGCTCTTTTTGTACCTTTGTCCCATTTTCTCCGGGCCCATTTTGTCCCCTTGTCCCATTTGATCCATTGTACCCAAGTCCCATATGATCCATTATTCCATTCTGGCCCTCTTGTCCCATTTGTCCTCATTGATTAGTTTCCTCTTTTCCCCGTTTTGTTCCTTTCCACCCCTTTTCCAATTTTGTTCATTGCCCCATTTAGTCCTGTTCCCATCTTCATCCTCCTTTACCCGCTTTGTCCCACTTGTTTCCATTAGTCCCTCTTTGTCCTTTTAGCCCTTCAGCGCACTGCGATTTTTATTTAACAACGGTACCAAGACTAAGTACCAATATTTCTTGCAACAGAACATCGAGAGTATACAGAACAACAATAAATATGTTGGTTACTCTCTGGATCAGTGTGTCAATTTTCGCCGGACAAATAATCAATTTTAAACGAAAATTACATGTCATTGAACTGTTTACAAAGTGAATAAAATCACACATCGTAACATCCTATTACAATGATCGATCGATTGTCAAACTCACCCCGTCTCATACTTCTCCAATCTCGAGTCGTAAGGTCTTTCGACGCTTGTAAATAACCGTTAAGTGGCTATTTGTATAAACGGGCTGTCGTTGCCACAACAAAAGGTCGTCGCTCCCGCAGTCTGTTCTGAGCCCTGACGTGCCGCCAACGCGCCCACGAGGTGGCTTTCAGGAAGCGGAGGTTGCAGAGGGTGGGGAGAGAGGGCTTGCAGCGGGGGAGGGTGTGTGTGGGGAGTAGAGAACTGGCGTGAGGGCGAAGAGAGGATGCTGGGTCGGGGAAGCCAGGCAGCAACGGCGGGCAGCGAATGGGGTACGGGCAGGAGTTGGGGACGGGGTAGAAGGACGGGGAAGCGGACGCGTTTGGGGTGCCGGGACAGAAGGAAGGGTTGAGACGGGAAGGCTAGGGGGGGAAAGCCGAGCGGTGTTTGCGGGCGGGGAAGGGAGAATGGGCGGGGAAAGCGAGCGGTGTTCGGAGTTCAGGAACGGAGAGTGTGGTGGGCGCTGGGTGGGCGCAATCTGCGGGACGGGGTAGTCAGCAGACGACGGGTGAGGATCAAAGCGGGCTTGAGGACAAGTAGCACGAGACAAAGAGTACGGCGGAGGGGCGAAGAAGGGGACAGCAACGGACGGATGGCGGCGGGCGAGGATTGGTGCGTCTTGAGTGGCTGCCGGAATGGCGGGGCGCGGTGGCGGGGCGGTGGCGGCAGCGCAGGACAGCGCGAACCGGCCTGGTAGAGTGGGGGCCAGAGACTGAACGACCGGACGGAGAGCAGCAACCGGAAATGTTGGGCGGGCGAAAAGTCGAGTGCGGGGGCGCGAAGACAGTTGGAGAGGTCCTGAGCTGAGAGGTGGGCAGGGGCGAGGTGGAATATGGGGGGTCATGGCGTGGTCGGATTCGATTGATTGATTGATTGATGTCATGTTACTGCTCCGGGAAGAGTCGGTGTTCTCCGTCCTGCAATGTGAGATAAGGCGTATCCACAGATCAGCTATCGGCTATTCTTCCTGGTATATCCCCCCCGCGGCAGATCAACCTAGCCGGTTCATTGTGACTCTCGTAATGGGCATCAACTGCAAAGGAACATGTCCCGTAAGTGTAGTGTGGTACGGCGAGAGGTGGTGGTACTCTTTCCACGATTGGCGAGAAGCCGTCAGCTTAAGGGTTTTCCCCCGACCAGGTTATCTGCTTCCAGTGAGGTACACCTTAGCCGGGACAGGCTCTAAAACTCCCAACTTGATTTCCAACATGTTGGTAGGGCAATGTTAGTTGTACGTCGGTGTGAGTAAGGTGAGCAGGATAAGACAAGGAAGAGGTTGGACAAGATTGGCGCGCGGTCGTGGCCGTGTACTACTAGGGTACTGATCCGGATAACGCTGCGGCTTTGGATCAGAAAAACAACAACAACATGGAAAACGCCCGATCAAGGAGCAAGTCGGTCCGCTTTGAAATATCCTCCAGGCAATGCTGATTTCTTCCTAGCTATAAACTAAGTGTCGAAGATCTTGTCGCGTGCTGTACTTGGACATCCTGGTTCAGAGTCACTGGCAGTGACATCAGTTGACGCACCTGAGTCTCTTCTCTAAGTTGGCCCGGTCGAAATGCGAGGGCGCGGGGTGGGGGGGCGGGGTGGGGGGTCGGAGGTGCGGAGACGGGAAGGCGGTCAGGCGGCGATGAAAGCTGCTGGTGGCGGAGGTGTTCAACTGGGGATTCAGGCCCATTCACAGTGCAAACGTAAACATAAGCATAACGTGTGGGACGTAAACATTAACATAAGTGATAGACTGAATTAATTTACAATGCTAGCATGAACGTGAGCAAAATAAGAGTTTCTATTGGCTGCGAGACATTCTAGTTCACTATTGGTTGGATGTGAGAATCGATTTCGAGGTTTCGACTGTGTCCATGGCCCATGATGGCGTTATTTCTTCTAGTACGACTTCAAATTTCATTCTCGATTTTGAGTTCCGCTTTGTGATTGGTTCATTTATATGTCTTACGTAAGCATAAGCACAGAAGCTTGAAGCTTTGAAGTTAACGTTTTACGTGTTATGCTTATGCGAACGCATTGTGAACGAGTCCGATTATGGACGTAGTCCTAACTTTTCTGTTATCACTGTCATTTTCTGTTTCTGTGTTCACAATCTGTTTTCATTGTGAATGTGCCTTTACGATGGGGAGCGTTGACGGGGACAGATCGAGCGCGGGGCGGGGAGCACGGAAGCAGGCGCGGGGTACCGGGGGCGTCGACGTAGGCGGCAACGCCCCTCTCCCCCTCCCCACGGAGTCGTCTCGCGCTTCGCGAGAGCATTGTGCAGCTGCCACCCCGCGAGCGCCGAGCGCTGTTGACGTACGTCACAATGCGCCTTCGCCGCCTATTGCCGACCCCGCGCAAACACTCGCGCAGAAAGCCGCTTACGCGCGAAACTTCAGCTCGCTCGAGAGGACTCGACGCTCGCGCCGCCTCTCCGTGCCTCCGACGACCTGCTTGTTAGGGGCGGTTCGCGGTGAGACGAGGGCCATAGGAAGTCACGGAATGAGTTAGCGCAAGGCAACAAGTAATGCTACTACAGCGATTCTGGACGGGAAACCCTACGTTTCAAGTCCCGCCTGTGGTGGGTTTTGCGAGTAAATAGTTGCTGTCTGGAGGAGAATTCAGGGGGCTGGAACTCTGATGGGTAGTTTTCTGTGGTTTCTCCTACGAACACGACGAATACCGGCGCAGTCAGTAGTAAACAGGCCATGGTCCGCGCGCGATCTTTCCTTCCTCTCTATTGTCATCTCACCCCCTGCTTACACACACTTACACGCACTACATTACGATACATGTCGGGGGAGCAGTCGGGAGCTTAGAGCTTGCCAGGGAGATACCTGATGGGGAAAAGCATGGAAGGCGCCCGATAAGTCGGACCCCGATATTGCCAGCCAGTGGGGTTCGTCCATTGAAATAAGAGCGAAGTATTGTCCCCAGAAAGAATAAGATTAAGATTAGAGACACAAATTGCGACATTTCTGAAAATGTGAAATTACATTCTTTTACAATTAGACATATGAGCCCTAAAGTGAAATCTTTAGGGATCAAATGTACCAGTTATGGGAGGATGATTCCTCCATAGTTTGGAGATCAGGCAAGTAATGATAAGCTGTGTGGGTCATTAGGCTTCAAATAGGTTTTGAGGTGGGAAAAACCGAATATAATAAAATCTACTTATTTGTCCTCTCTCCACATTATGCCACATTTACAAAGCCATTTACTGGTGAAAGGATCCTTCGCTCCATTCTCTATGCGAGCTGCTTCTGGTGCTTGGGAAAGACGGAGAAATAAAATGCGTAACGTGGGCAAAGCAATCCACGTGAAAAGTGATGCGCAAGCTTTCACTATGATTGCGTTTTTGATATTCCTTCAAATGGAGTGCTGGATTGCTGCACCTGGGATGGAAAACTGAGATGTGGGTATACGGAAGGCAAATATTTCCACTTCCTGGTTTCCGTGAAATGTGCTGAGAGCCTTTTTGTTCGCATTCCTATATTCATAAACGTAATATTTGGGAAAAGAAAAATACTCATAATACGAATGCGTTCAGTCGAATTTATAAAATACGACTGAAAGAACGTTTGCTTCCTAGCTTTACCCTAAAATGTCGTAATTATTTCATTAACATTATGTTATAAATGTGGAGGGCTACATATTCGATATAGTATAATAAATTGTATTGAAATCTACATATTAATTTGAAAGTTATGTAGAAAATATCAAATAATTAAGAAATATTCAAAGGTTGACCTATGCTGTATCAGTTGCAAATAAAGTATTGCATCATACAAAAAGGATCATACAAAAACCTTTTCAATGATGTATTTATAATTAACATTCAACTGGATACAGTTGTATAATACTTGTGTATGGATTTAGGTCGAGGTATGTTCAATAAATAATCTTTTAAGTCGCTTTTAATCCATGAGATGTTGTTTGCTGTCTGAATTAATAGTAAGAAGATTTACATACCCAAAGGAGAGGTAAGAACTGTATGAGATGAATGACATAGATGATGCAGTTACGTAATTTTAAATACACATGGGAAATGCAAATCTTTTGAAAACATGAAAAAAATAATGCCTTGTGTTAGAAAGACATAAGAGAAGTAAAAAGGTTTTAGGAAAATATAAAATCAATTTACATGCTTGTGAAGTGAATTCATTGAATGTACGAAAATTATCACTAAACATTTCATTTTCGTTAAACCAATAATTTAACATAACCGAGATTAATTCAGTTTTGTTTGTAAATACGTTTTCTTCATGTACAGTATAGCAATGGTATATTCATTTAGGATATTTTGCAAATCCAAGGAATTTCTCCTCTATAGAATACTTTTATGTAAATACACAACTATATTGAATGATATATTTTTAAGTAACTAAACCTATTTCAAAATATCTACATAATTAAAATATAAAATAATTTTAAATCTATCTGAAAACTCGCAATGGGACATCCTGCACTGATGAAATTAAAGAACTTGCAAATTAAAGAAAATGCAAATTAACAAAACTTGAATCTCTAATTCATTTTCTCTATGCAAATATGGCATAAGGAATTAAAATCCTTGAAATTCTCGCGGTAAACAGCTTTGTGACATCTATCTCTCATTTTCACTGCCTCAAATACTCAGATCGGCCCATCAACAATAGCATCACTCACTTTCGCTTTACCACTCTCAAACACGTTAATTACGATAACCCAACATTCCGAAAAAAGTGTTTTTTAACTGAGCCCTAACCACAAATAATAGTATTGGAAAAGTGGAGTCTAACCTGCGGTAGAAACAGAGAATAGACAGTAATTTTACGAAGAACAAATACAGAGGAAATACGTTAAAGTTAATACGGAGTTCGAAGAAGAAAGTAAAAGACAATGCAAAGTGCTTTCGAATACAATTAAACTTATCTCAGACGAACAATGATGACTTCTTGAAAAAATGTGTCTTAACTGTTTTTGTTGAATAAATTAAAGATAAAAATTCATTAAATGACTTACGTATATTATTCCCGATGTCGTTTTTCTGATGATAAAATAATTAAAATAGGGTAGCATATTCAGAGAACAGTGCAATGATGGGAAGCTTGAATCATCAGAGTTCATTGTCAAATAATTCCCGACATGGATTAAAATCCGACGGCTAGTCCGCTGTTGAATCTCCAGCTGCGATGTGAAAAAAAAGTTTTCGACTTCTTTGGCAGTGTAGTGGATGGATTGGTATATGTGTGTGAGAGTGAAAGGGACAAGGAAGTGACAGGAGCGATCATGCGCGATCCGCAGCCCATTCATTAGTGTAATGCTCCAGCACTCTCGCGTGGTATTGTTAAATCACAGAGAACTACTGATAACCACCCGTTCCGAAAACCCGCCAACGTCTGGAATCGTACGATAGGCCTCCTCGACCACCGCTGCCGCAGATCCATCGGCGTTACTTCTGCGCTATCGCAATCAGTACGAACATGAGAATATAGATACCGCAGTCGTAGACAGTACCTACTTGGGTGTCCGGTAGACACCCCTTCCTAGGCACTGGTGCCAACGATTCATTCGTTTAATTGTGACCTTCAGGACGAATTGCGTCTCCGGGACAGCCATGTATACACCGATTTAATGAGTGGCACATCAAAATTACGTTTTGGAAGAAGAGGGTAACATTGTCATCAAATTGGGAGCTCCAACATCAAACATTAAAAATGAAGTTATTAATTATGTTAAAAATTAAGTTTAAAATTAAAGCCGTAACGAAGCTTCGTCATCTACGTCCCCCTCTCCGTCCAGCTCGAGACCTTGAAGCGCCTCTCTGTTTATATCGGAGAATTGTTACCGGTTCCAATTTTGAATCCTTGGGGCACACCCACCTTGAGCAGGTGATTGGTGCCGAGGTAGAAAACGAGGTCGCTGGCCTGTTGCTCTATCGCAACCGGTACCAACATGAGGGCATAAGTAGCGCGACCGGAGTCAGTAACTGCTTGGCTGTCCGGGAGACCCCGCTTAATAACCATACATTATACAGCCGCCATTCCTCCATGCGAAACGAGTCTCCGGGGCAGCCAAGTAGTTTCCGGTACCAACACTGAATCCTTGGGGTACACCCACCTTCAGCAGGTGGTTGGTGCTGAGGTAGACGACGAGGTCGCTGGCCTGCTTCTCGGGCGGGTTGTCATCCCTGTCGATGAGGTGCACGCGGACGTCAACGGCGTGGCCCGCCTCCTTGCGGCCTTCGCCGCCGCCGGCCGCAGAGCAGAGCAGGCGAGCGTGTTGCGTAGGCCCGCCGCCAGGGGCCGCAGCGTCCGCCTCGCGGTCCAGGGGCCGCGTGCTCTGCAGTCGCCACTCGCCGTCCGGCGCCTCGAGCGGGCGCACCGCCAGCGCGTCGCTGGACGACTCTGCGCACACGCCACGGCCGCAGTGAGCCTCCAATGCATTGTTAACTGGTATAAACGCCACTAGGCCGATAAACTGCTGGTAACAGACGAGGTTGAAGTTTGGAAACAGAGGCGATAGAGAATTCTCAAACAACCCAGTATTTTATTTGTATTATCCAACATCTGTCGTACTATCGTAACTATATACTATCATCAGTCGTATTTTGCCGTATACTATCATCTGTCATCATCTCTCAACTATCATATGTGTATACATATCATAATATTGTTTGAAGTAATTGTTTTCCTTATAAAAAAATGTAAACAAATATTTTCCGGTCCGGACGGCCGAGATAGCTAAGGCAGTAGTGCCATAGAGATCTCGGACCGAAGGATCGCGGATTTGACTCCCGCCTCGGGCATGGTTGAATTGTATTCCTTCTTTCACCCCCCATCATCGTGTCATCCTCATTATTACCATACCGTTACTCGCAATAGTGGTCGCTAATGAACTCAAAGTTGATGCGACCTTATATAACAAAGAATATAATTTATTAAAATAACTGAACTCATCCGCCATGTTTAGTTGCAACACATTTTTTTCGATTGCGTTAATCGCGGTCGGTTGAGAATAATATCAATTTAACGAAACGTAATAAATGAAAATCCAATCTTGACGTAACGATGCCCCTTACGGACAATTAAATTAACGAGTTGTAATTGAAGATAAAACATTTCTCCACCTCTTTCAAGAAACGGTTATCTCATCTTTTTTGTTTTAATAAGATGGTATTAGGAAGAGCATTGTACGGCACACGGCCGATAACATTGATAGTTGGTTCATGCTGCTTATACGCGTGTGATGAGTAACTGCCAGTCGCCGCCCGGCGCCGAATTTTAATTCGTTGAATTCTTTTTTGTAATACCGCCTTATCAAAAATATTATGTACACAAGAAATGTTTTAATTTTTTTGAGTAAGTTGTCTGAAGAGTCGCCATGTTGAGCTTCGACATATTTGTTTCCATTATTGTTAACGAAATAATATCAACTTTACGAAACGAAACAGAGAAAGGAAAATCTACAATTGACCTCCGTTGTACGTTACGAGCAATTGAAACTAATGAGTTGTAATTTAAGATAAAACAGTAATCCACTTCTTCCAATAAATTATTTCTTCTTTTTTTATTTTAATAAAAATATTCTTTGGAAGAGCATTGAACGATACACAGCCGATAACACTCATAGTTCGTTCATGCTGCTTACACGCGTGTGCTCTGCAGCCACCAATCACTGCCCAGCGCTGCGAGTGCTCGCACTGTCAGTGCGTCGCTGGACTACTCTGTGCACACGCCACGACCGAAATACAGCCTCTAATGCATTGCAGTAATTATTGTCATATGACGATAATCAGCAAGTAATAGACGTGTTTGAAAACCGAGTCGACAGGCGAGGTTTATAACTAGAGGGTGAATTTTGATGGCCTAACTTCACCAAAAACGATCAATGAAATACTCGTAAAGTGTTTTAAAAATGCCCTAATAGCAAAGAAAAATAACGTAATTTTTTTTATCAAAACCAGTGATGATGAACAAGTCGAGCTGCTGGATATGTTACTGATGTAATAGGGGCTTCTTCCTTTCGTTCAAGTGAGCTAATCTTGCAATCTTTCGGTTTGGACTGGTCCACAAAATCTTCGTCTTTTTTTATTGTCGAATCCGGCAAACCGACGAAAGTCCTGATAGGCGTCACAGGAACTTTAGATTACGAACTCGGAACGGCTACTCAGAAATTCTGTGGAGAACATTTGTTGCAGCTAGTAAATATTATTTATATATAGTACCATTAAAATGATATTAATATTGATGAAATCAGAAATGCTTTAAAAACGACGGAAAAAGGTAAAAAATGACTTATTAGTCGAAATACACATGCAAAATAAAAATGCAAAAGACAGGTTGAGTACAAATGGGCCATTTCCTTTTTTCATAACATAAAATTAATGTATATACTAAAAGACATTGTTCTAAAGTGAAAAGAAAAAAAAACGACATTTCATTAAAATCCGCCCCTGTTTATAAGTCCGTTATTTGTGGTCTCTTCCGACGTTCAATGAATTTGGTAACATTTTCTTATAAGAAAAAATTGTTTTAACAAGAAACACATTTTTTGAATATGTTTATCCATACATCCTTAGCTACAACTCATTTGTTTCAATTCCTTCTAACTAAGGGGGGGTGTTACATCCATAACGGACCCGACCGTTAAGAGTGGCCTTTCATTTCACTTAGTCGTTGCGTTAGGTTGATGTAACAGCAATGTTAGGTCAACCCAATCAAATAGTTATTAATATCTGTAAGTAAACATAGAACAAATAAACGAGGCTGTGAAGTTAGTAATCCGGCGAGAGACGAAGCTTATAGCCAAGTCCATTATTAGTGAAATCGGCCTATCTTATGCAATACTTTTCAGGAAAAAAATCATGTAAACAAGAAATCCATTTTACTTCAAGTAGCCGTCCTAATAGGCCGTCTGCAGATACAACTCAGTAAATACTTTGTTTTCGTTGTTCTTGCTGACTTTTTGCCTTAAATTCTTAATGGACAGTAGTTGTTATGAGTGACTTTTCATCCCTTTGTTTGGTGTCGTCTTATAACTTTGTCGCCGACATAAAAGTACAGTATTACGAAATAGTAGTTTGACTATATAACTAGTATAAACTAGTTGTTTATAAATCAATGTTTAAAATAGTTTTGTTTGTACGTTTCATTACGTTTTCCCAACTTTTTTCTCTTTATGGTGTGCAATCATTTTAATTAATCAAATGGTTACATGAATTAATAACAACTTTCGAACTAATTATTTAATAACATTTTTACACTTCCTTTCGTTTTTGTTTTGTTTCTTTGGAGCTCTGACTGTGTCAGAAACATACATAATAATAAACTTGCTACCTAAATAAAGTTTAAAGGTAGTGTGCGTGGTGAAATAACCGGTGGATCGGAATAACGAAGGAAGAATTGGAAATGAAGTAGGGACTTCATGACAAGAGATCATTATTACTTTTACCCTGAATTTGAGCGCGTCTCCTAATTTCAATACCGCAACTATTGCACGTGCCAAGACTCGCGTGTGAAAATGAAGTAATGCATAGCGAAGGCAATCTAAAGACACGAAGGAGGCGGTGGAACTAAAATATTCCACAAACGACAACTTGCCTTAATTAGTGCCCTATATTCACAGAACGCGAAGCACACATTTTAGTAGAATAAAGAGCCAGTTTTTTTGTGTGACCTGTAGCTATAAAGCTGGATTCCCCTTTTCACCTTTCATGTGAGGTGAAGTCGTTTTAGCTCGTGGAGATGGTGGGGTCAGATGCCACGACGATAGGTGGTCGCAAAAAGGTCAGAACGGTTTTCAGGCCAAGTCTTTCTGACCCTAGTGTGCGTTTTCCATCTGGACGGTTTCGCTTCCTTCTTTGGCAGCGGTACTACGGAAGTTTTTTTCTCTCTCTCCCTTGCTCGGACCATCTGCTCCGTCGAAGGCAACAGAGTTCCCAAGAAGTCAGATCCAATCGCTCAGGGAGAAAAACTACGTGCAAAAGGGAACACCGAGAATCTTCTGGGAATGCGAATAGCTGATTTTATTCTTTCTTAGAAATGTCTGTTTATAGTTTTTGTCCAGAAGAAAGAGAGCTCGAGAAATAAGAATTATGAAGTGCAATGTAAAATTGCAACATTAGAAATGACTTTTTTTAAGCTCGCGGAATGTTAACGAATATTACATCGTTTTCGTCTCTGCAGAAACAGCCAACGTTTTTTGGAATTCCATTTTTCTGGAATATAATAGAAATTAAGAAATATTAAACAAACCATTTTAATTTTTCAAAATTCATACATTTTGTGGTATATCAGATGCTGCCGCTAAGATTCTGATACCCCAAAACATCGATGTTTCGGGGTGTCAGAAGCTAGAAGCAATTGTTAAAACGTTTTTTAAAATTGTTCCTGGAGGAATATTTTATTTATTTGCTCTAGTGTATAACCAATACGACTAAGTTCCTGAAATACAAGGAATTACTGAAACATATAAAAATGAAATTTGTAACAGAAACACCAATTTCCTAAAATTACTCTAAATGCAAATTATTCTAAAACGTGTCTCCTAATGTTTGCGTATATTCTTTGAATTATCTTCTACTCTTTATGTATTGTATTAACCTTTTAAAAGTAGTCAGAATAGCAGGCCAAATGGACTGAACCTTGTCACCAATATATACTTTTCTTCATTTAGTTACTTATAAAAAAATGAACATGAACTTCGCATTTGAGTACTCACCGTCATCCAAGCGATAACGAAATGTTTGTCGGCAGAAATTTTGCAAATACGTGGGACCTGGAGGTCCTAGGTCGACTCCAGGGGACTCTTCCAGCAACTGCATGTCCATGGACTGCCAGAAACACAGCGTCGCCTGACGAAAAAACCAAAGATCCTAAATCTCAGTATCCTAGCACTGTTCTACTTCTCTTCTAAATCTTAATATTCTAGCACAGTATTTCCATTTAAATACTTGAAAATTATTTCGAGAAACAGTGCATGCTTTCAAACACGAGACGAAAACATGCTCAACATATATCGATATATTATGTATAAATTTCTCTCTTTTAAATAAGTGCGACAATTTAACGTTATCTGCAATTAAGCTAAAGTTGAAAAATTCTTTCTCAATTTTCATTCAAATAAATTGTTGTTAGAAAAATGAAGCACACGACTTGTAAATTAAGTGGCATGATTACATTTTAGTAAAAAAGTGCAAAACGTGCCAAAAAAACCTTGACAGGAAAAATAGCACTAAGGAAAATAACATTTGTAAGAAAAAAAAGTATGTGGTAGGAAGATGTTGAAGGAACAAGTTTCGACGAACACATTCTAGCAATAGGTCGTATCAGCTGTTTTAAAAGGATATTGGAGAAAAACGTTGAGGGAACATGTTCAAAAACACGTTCAATTTGCTTCTTTATCCATCTTTTCTTTCCTTAATTTGATTCAAGGAACACTTGTGGAATTTGTCCTTGAAAGAAAGACAACTAGCAAAAACTAAACTTCAAAGACGATGAACTTACAATTATAAAACCGGGAAAGTACTTAAATATGCGCATGAATGACTTCATCGTCTAAGAGACTACAAGAAAATTAGTAGAACAGCAATCTCTTTTTAATCCAGTGATTCTTTTATTCTTGCAAAATAATATGTTGACTACTCATGGAAGTGAGCTTCTCATTAATACAGTGTCTCACAAAAGAACTACTGCAAAATATTAACCATTAAAAAGGAACGATCGTCATTCACTGACATACAAGAAATACTTTTGTTGAAATTTGATATAACAGGATTATTTCACAATTCGGTCACATATTTAAAATACATGGTTGACTTAATTATTTTTAGTGAATTATCTTAATGTGCCGTGAACTCTTTGATCATATACTGCTTGCTTGCGCTCATAATGCCAATTAAAAGTGGCACTAAGACTAAAATTTCTCCGCGTGGTTTCTGAAATGGAAAGGTGAACGACCGGTATGGGGAACGGGATGGCAGGAATGGATGGCATTGAAAGAGAATGCAAGAGGCGGGATGCAAGTAACAGAATGCAAGGACGGGATGCAAGGAACGAGATGCAAGGAAACGAGAATGCAAGTAACAGAATGCAAGGGACGGGATGCAAGGAACGAGATAGCAAGGAACGAGATGCAAAAACCGAGATCAAGGACGGAGATGCAGGGAACAAGGTGATTGGAACCAGTACAACAAACAGACACTAGCAAAAGAAGCAGCAATAACAATTCGTACAAGCGTAGCAGCAACAGGTTGGCGAAGCACCTCCAACCAAAAGAAGTTGCACCGCCAGGTCGAAGCAACACAAGTCGCCCGCGCGCGTCGCGCCACAGCGCCTCAACTCACCGTGGAGTTGTTGGCGGCGCACAGGGAGCGCGTCTCCTCGTCTCCCAGCACTCGGAATCGAGGCGCAGCTCGGCCGGCCACAGGCCCCCTGGGGCGCCTGGCGGAGTCGGTGACACGCAGGCGGCGCCTCCAAGGTCGCATGAGACGTCCCGGGAACTGGCGTTGCCCGCGCGCCGCTTGGCTGCTAGGGCCGGTTTCACAACACCCGAGTAAATTTGAGAGTAGTTACTCGAGAGTAACCATTTACTCCAAGATAGTAACTCTCGAGTAGAATATGAGCGTTTACCCTGCTTCTAGAGGGTTATTTTACTGCTAGAGTAGCATACTCTCCGATTTACTCCGCAAATAAGCGGAACACACAATATTTGAGAGCGATTCAGAGGCTGTGAGCGAGAAATGACGCTGAGAACCAAGCGAGACCACGTGAACCTTTGATTAATTCCTTATATTCTATATTCACTTCAGTTTCGGAGTTCTTGGAGTTATAATCTGGTGTGGTGTTAATGGTGGTTTGAGTTAGCATATTTTTTGCCTAGTTTCTGTATCGTAATTTCTTAATAAATATTTATTCTTCTTCTCTGGAGACGAGTTATATTTTTGTTAGCAAATGCAGAAAAAATCTAATTTGGCAGTTTGTTTTACCGGATGGCGGTGCAAATGAGTTTTCTATAACTAGGGAACGAAAATGTTTAATTTTCAAATGTTGCTGATCTCGTGTTTTTCTTTAAATTTTATTATTAATGTTGTTTTATATTTTTTAAATTTTTATTCATCACTTTCAACTATTTGTAATTAAACTGTTGGGAAGGGATTTCTGGAACTCAAGAAAACGCCACTAAACGCCCGCCAATGATTACACCATACGTCACATACAGTTTTTACTGAATAAATAAAAGATATTTTTTTTAGTACTTGTAGTTCCTGTAGTTATTACTTTTTCTTTTGTTGTCGTATTCGGTACGTACTACCTTTATTTCGTATCCACACGGGACAAAAAGAACTTTAGAAGTTCTCTACAAGTTTACAGTGTGTCTGATGAAGTTAAACAGCTGATTTGGTCAAACTCATGACCAAAATCTTAATCGTCATTATTAAACCATCCATTCTCTCTCGCACCTTTGTCTTCGCATAGTGGATAATATTCCGAATCGTTTTCAAATACTGTTATTCTGTAATCGTCGAACCGTAAACAACACTTCGGAGGTACATGGACGTTGAAAACAATTTACTCCGTTTTTACCGCGAGCGGATTTTCGAGGTGTAAATTTACTCTCGAATTTACTCTCGTGTAAGCGATTTACACTCGAGTAAAGTGTTGGTGAAACGCTACAAGAAGTTACTCTCGAGTAAACATGATTTAGTCCAGAGTAAACTCTTACTCTTTCTTTGGTGAAACCGGCCCTGAGAGGACGCAGTGCAGTCTTGGCAACAAACTGCAGTTAAAGCCTCGTTGGCGCGAACTCGTTTAACGCAAATTCGTCGTAAAATGAACGAAATTTGGGTGCCGCAAAAGAAACATAGTGATGAGGGTAAGCATAAAAATCGCAGAACACAAATTTTTACAACACGAACACTGATTGGTTGCGTAGGCAGGAGTCTATGTTGTCTAGACTATCCGGGACGAGCCGCGTCACTATCATGGTACTGCAGTACGCTCTGAAGAAGGTCACAATACGCTGGCCGAAACGTTAGCCACCATGACAGTGACGCGGCTCGTCCCGAATAGCCTAGACAACACGAACACTGATTATTTCAGTCCCTTGAAATTTGTGTTATGGAGTGTTTGCTGTATTTAGTACTAGCTGAACTGCTCGGCGTTGCCAGTGTTTTATAGTGGAAGTAATATTATGGACACCCCCGCTCCGCCAGGCAGCAACCCGCTTCGTCTCTTCCTACCCGCTCAATCTCCCGCTAACCGTCACGCCTCCCCGTTTTCCTCGCTTTGTCCCTTTCCGCACTACGAAACATGGTCGGATATACGTTTCGAACAATTATAAGAAAACAAACGTGAAGGACCAAAAATATGGCAATTTTACTATTTCCTCATACAATACATACACATTAAAGAGAAAGTATTGTGATTTTTCATGTAGTGCGAATGCACTGTCACATTTCAAAGAACTCTATCTTCAACTAATACAAATGGGTGTTTTCACTAATATTTTCTTCTTTATAGAGTTGACAGCCAACTCATGACTCTATGCTCATTGCTAGCCTTTCACCCAGGAGGTCCAAGTGCGATTCTTGGACAATATCATGTCAAATTTGTTCCAAAAAAATGAGTTTGACTGCTTCAGTGGGGCTAGTTCAACCCCTGCGAAATGTTCTAATTTCTACTACTGTCCTAATTTCTTCCCAATTCAAAAATCCAAGGCTGGCATGCAAGTGCTTTGAAAATCTTCTTAAGGGATCGCCAAGGACTGCATGTGTTCTGTGTTACTACTACTCTAGAGTTGACAGTTTTTGTAAATAATTTAATAAAGAAATTTGCATATCATTTACCATTTTATTAATCTCTTTCATTCAACTTGCACCGTATATGGTCAAATAATGTAACGCCAAAATTTTATATAATAAAGTTCGACTGACAAAGTTTTGAGTATTTAAGAATCCCTAATTAATATCTCCACGAATTACTGTTTTCAACGTAAATGAAACCTGCATCATTCTTTTGAGCAATATTTACATTAATAAAATTAATCATTTGCCGCCTTTTTTCAGAAAAATTTGAAAATATAATCGAGGTTTCATGTACAGTACCCCAAAAAATCAAAATATGTTTCAAACTCAAAGGACCTCGTGTTACTTTAAATTGACCAAGGAATGTCAATTTTGGAGAAGATCGGCTAAACGGTTTTGGCACTAGTGTTGACCGCAGGCAGACGGCCGGAGAGACACGTATTGGCGTCAATCGACTTTTCGGTATCAAGGACCCGCATAATTTGAATTCTGACTAAGTGTAAGAGGAAGTAATTAACCCTTAATATGAACAAGAGTTTTCCACCTTACCAGGGCTACGCTCTTATGTTTATGCTTTCATTCACAATGAAAACATAAACATAAGAGTGGCATTAACATAAAATTTAGGACTATTTCTAAGCGTATTCATCACAATACGTTCGCATAAGCATAACACGTAAGACGTTAACTTAACAGCTTGCAAGCGTCAAGCTTCTGCGCTTATGTTTAAGTAAGACATAAAAAATCAACCAATCACAGTACGTTAACTCAAAATCGGGTATCGAAATAGGATCAAAGTCGATAGACGAACCGCCATAACCCATGAGTTATGAACCCAGTCGACACCTGGAAATTTTCGCATCTAACTATTAAACTAGAATATCTCATATCAAATAGAAACTCTTTATTTTGCTTACGTTTATGTTAGACGTTGTGAATACTTCAGTCTATCACTTATGTTAGTGTTTACGTCTACACGTTATGCTTATGTTTGTGTTAGCATTGTGAATGGGCCTTAAATGAGTTTTTCAGTCGAAAATCCGCGGTTCCGGCGTTCAATTACAATACTTTCTCCTCTTACTAAGTAAGGACAAGGAAAAAAAAAGAATCTGAGAACATAACGTACGTAGCGGAACGTCGTCGCTGATGCCGAGCACCACGTCCTGCCCGCGCAGCGACGCCTGCAGCCACGGGGGCGCTCCGCGGCGCAGGCGGTAGTTGGGCCGGCCGCCGGCAGAGAGCGCGGGCAGCGGCAGCGCGCGCGTGCGCAGAAGAGCGGTGCCGGGCGGCAGCAGCACGGGCACCACCAGCGAGGCGTTGGCCAGCGGGAAGTAGAAGACCGGCCCGTCCGGCGGCGCGGCGCTGCCGACGGCCGCACCTGCCAAGGGAAACGGCGCACGTTATAGTTATTTACGCACCGAGGACGTTATAAAACGAGATTTTTGTCACCGGAGATCATTATACATACACAACGAGCGTGGTATTACAAGCTCGTATTTTGGCTTAATTTCAATTTCTTAGATTTATTTATTTATTAAAACTATATATCAATTTGACTCTGTTTTTCTTTTCATATCTCTCTCCGATAGTTGCCGTCCTTAAGAGAACATGTAGAATCATTCAACTGTTTTCACATTTCCGTTGTGACCATGATCCTCTCGCCGATGTATTAAGTAGCGTGCATAGAGATGTGTATCGAATGCAATAAGAAGAAATAACGCATCAGTAAAAAATAAATGAATAAATCATCTTGGTTCTATTAGTTTTACACTATTTTCATCCGTGCAAACAGCCCACAGTTGATCATCCGGGCGTGAAAACTGCTAGGGTCGTTAGTACCGTAAGTGTAGTGCATGAGTTTATCACAGGAAGTGGTGGTAGGCGTTCGCTCCTAAATTTTGAGATTCTCCGTCGTCAGCTTGCGATTTTTTTTTTCAACCAGATATCACCCATCAGCGGAGCACCGTTTGAGTCGGGACTGGCTTAAATCTTCCGAATGGTTTCCTGTCGTGTGTGGTATGGTTTATTATAAATAGTAAAACAACGTAATCTTTAATTTACAGAGGAAATATAACCTAATGAATTGGAACAACAATAAAGCGTTGACTCCTTATTCAAAATCCTGCTCAGGATACAAATCGATGATATTGAGTGCATACTGTACACGTTTGTCAATATCATAACATTTATTAGACATCAATTAGGGCACGCACAAGTGCTAGAACTTCAGTTTTTAGCACTAGTACTAAAAGTGCGACGATGCACAAATGTTTCAATAAAACTTGAATATAACAATGAAAACAAAACTAATCCATCTTCAGCTACTACTGATCCTAATTTATATTGTAGTGGGCAATTAAGTGAATGAAAGTCTGAAAAGCTGTCTAAAAAATAAAGTCTGAAACACGTGTTAAACGTGATTTGTCTTGCTATTAGGACTGCGCCGCTCGGCCTATCGGTCTTCTGTCGCAACTTTCCTACTCACAGAATAAAATTTACAACTCGTATCGTGAATAACTATTTCCATATATTTTCATATAAGATATTGCGTCTTCTGGACACTCAAATCCGTTCTCCAACGCCAGAAACACTCTCTAATTACTATAACGGAAACGGCAAAGGAGAAACTCCGAGAAACCCGTTATACACGTGCGTGTGACGGGTTGCCTAAGTTGTCGTTGACATCTTTAAAGGGAAGCGTAATGAGATCCGAGCGGTGCGGGATGTCCCATAGAAATAAATTTCGTTTAGTTTCCATTAGACCGCGAAAAAATCATTTATTAATATGTATTTATCTCAAACTTTTTATTTGTATGTTTTTAAACATAATTATTACAAGCACATTTTTATAATTAAATTTAAAAAAAGATTGTGTCGTTATCTCTGAGAAATCATTCAATTATTTTATTTATATTTCTTAACTTTAAGTATATTTACTTAATTCTGTCGAGTATCAAACAGAATTATGCGTAGCATACCTCTAGAAAATATCAAACAATTGAGCAGATTATTGATTTTCCAAAACAAAACTAATTTTTGAACACTTTGAGCATTTGTGATCAGAGAAGTTCCAGAAATATTTCACAAAATATTTATTAAATATTTCACAATAAGATATTTCTGTCATTCAAAAGGGTCTGTCGTCCAGGGACAATGGAACTGTATGCCCGCATATTGTTCTCAGCCGTTTTTGAATGTCCGGTGGTATTTTCAATAGAGAAAGATTTTTCTTACGCATTCCTTTGCAGAGTAGACCAATAAGCAAAGAAAAAGCACAGATGTCTTCAATGGACGTCAGAAGATGTAAAGGAAGCTATGAGAAAAATTTGCCGACAAGACGTTTTCTTACAGATCTTCTCTGGTCGGAATATTTCAAAACTTGTGAGGCGGACCATGTGTGCTCTCAGGCACTAGAATATTGACAGAGCCTCCGAAGAAACATAGAGGGTCCTGTGCTTGGAGAAGTATGGGAAATGTAACGTATATATTACTATTTGGCTCTACTGGTGTGCACTCCCTTACCCGTTGATATTGTGTCCGCGGAACCCTATGATTCAGAACCACGGCATCCGCCGGCTGTTAATTAGGAATACGAAGTAAAGTGTATTTGTATGTAGTATATAGGTATTTATGATGGCTGCCAGCTGCTGTGAAAACCCTGTTTTGACTCCATAATAGTATTTAGTACTCCCAAAAATGTTTTTGGAGAAGAAAATTCTTGTATTTGTTTTGAATTGAAAATACACCAATAATGACTAACTTTTAATTTTTTAAGTATGTATTTCTCCCTCTCATCTTTAAAATGTCATGTAATTGTTTGGGAAGCAAATACATTCAAAAAATTTATCTGTGGTTGCTTCTCTGAAATTTTTGAAATAAAAACGTGAATTTTTTGGTAAAAATATGTGATTTTCACACATTGCAGGTATTAAAAAATGAATGGCATGTACAAAAGTAAATAAAAACAGGTTTTTATGTAATGGGAGTAAGAAGAAACAAGACTAAAACTTTGATAAATTTTCTTTTTGATAAATCAAACGTTGACAATGTGCCAACAACAAAACATTTTCTATTGATGCTACAGTGTTCGTCAAGGAGTAACGCACGTTGGCTAGCGTTAATTTCCGTTGTCCTCCAGGTACGCTAATTTCAACGCACGTCATCCAGCGCGCTCGTGTGCCACGGTACGCTTGTTGGTTTTTTTTCCACGTTAAGACAGACGCTCTTTAACATCCGTTATTTGACGCTCGTGTGCTGCCAGTTTAAATAGATCACGTGTGTAATATTCGGATTTAATGCAGAAGATGTACTTACACCACATGATATTTAATACCTCTCGAATCCGCGACTCGGCGAATAAAAATCGCTTGTCACTTTAACTTCTTCAGTTGTCGGCCCGGAAATTTCTTTTTTTTATTTATTCAGTTCAAATTTAATTTCAATTGAAACTTTATTTTATTTATAATTGTGAATGACAGCCGTCTACAAGTCAGGATCGGTGAGGTCTTGAGACGACCGGTTGTCGTTTTTGTAAGACCATGCTTTTCGCATTTTCTCGCCCTCATTTCTTGTTTTGACTGCGTTTATCGTTTCACAATGTTATTTATGTAGCTCCTTCTCTTTCCCTCTTTTCTGCGTGGCATGCTGACAGGCTTAGATGGCTGACTCGCCAATTAGTGTCGTATCAATATTGTTCCTCCTATGAGTTTAACCTCCTTGAATTGTAGGTCTGAGAAGCGCCTGACGAGTAATGCACAGTAGAAAAATAGCTATAATGAGTCTTTCTTGAAGCTAAGGAAAACCTGATCCTTTGTTAGGATACGAGGCAAAATAATGAGGATTGAAAATAAGAGACAGCAGAAGTTAAAATCTGAAGTTCAGAGAAGTTGATACGATGATTGATATAATGCTTCTTTGATGGTGTAGACACTGTCTTACAACCATAACGAATTCCCTCATTAAGGCTTGCATTACAAAGATAATTATGATAAATTGAACGAATTATGAAGGGATATAGACATTATGATCATCTACATTATATAGTTATACACAATTGTATCTACATCGCATTCTTTGATAAGTAGAACGTAAGTTTCGTACAGTATATTTTAACTCGTTATTGGATGAGCTCCGCATCCACCTCAATTTCACTTGTTTCTTTTAAAAAGTAAAATAACAATGAATTATTGAAACTGTATAAATTCCTAGAAATGTCTTAGGAATACGTCTGTCAAGTATCACAAGCATTCGCTCATTCAGTTGTTAGTCTTCATTGTTTTTATCGCTACAGCGTCAAAGTAAGCACTATGCTCTCCATCAACCATTTACGTTAGGAATTTTCTCTCGTTTGGCAATTTTTAGTTTAACCCACCAGCACTGAATCAACCGGGAAAACTAATTGCAATTATTGTAATTATAATTATTTTTTTGTAATTATTTTGTAATTATTGAAACTGAATACATGTTGCTCAGATTATCCTTCGTGTTTACAACTCACTTTCTTGTTTTCATAACAAGTCAAAATCACTGCCATTTCCTTGTCTGTGTAAGACGTGTAATTGCTAACACTCTTGCACATAGTAAATAGTAGTAACACAGCTTTCGTTTTAGTAAGCTAAAAGCATAATTATAAGTAGGGACCGCTTTTACAGTTACTGCTTGGCTTCTGATGGTAGTGCAACTTCAGGTTACGCCCGTGTACTAGATTAATTAATGCGTTCTCTTTTGCAGTTAGTTCACTTGCAAAGGCTTTCGACACGACTTCGGGCAATCCCATCGTCTAAATATGACTTAGATTTCTTTTCCGAGCTGACTTACTGGTCCCTTCTTAGGCTAACGTATGTACTACATTGCAGACGATAATGATCTGAAACAAACTGAATTATTTGAAATGCTCTTTAAAATCTAATTGCACACTTAATATTACTTAATGCCGACAAATCACAATGCTGCGGCTTGAGGTTAGTCTCCTTGGACAGAATGAGAAAGGAGGAACGCATAGCTTCTGTCTACCACTTTCAGCCAGTTACCCTGGAAAACTACCGATCACAACAGCTAGCCGCCAGAATTCTCCTCTAGACAGTGGCTGAATTCGACATAGCTATCTATCTAGTGTTGAAAATCCTGCCATCCTCGGGACTCGAACATAGGCCCTAAAGAGCATCGCAGCTCGAACCCCCGAGTCTGACGCACTGCAGTGATATCAGTTGATGCCCTGAGCAACTG